AAGCCTATTTTTATGAAACTTTCTTTCGCGATGTATTTCATGGTCTTATAGAACTTACTGAAATATTACGGCCTTACAAGTAGTTTAATTTCAAAAAATCATCAAAGTTTGAGAAAATGAGTAGTTTTGTTAACGTTTGTTAAAATTAAAATTAGACGATTTACTTGGTTTAACGTTAGAGCACTTGGTATTAATAAACCATTAAAATCCTACGGAAACTGGTTCAAATATAAAAATCGAAAATTTACTGCTAGAAAATACACGTTAAGTGTTCGTTTTCAATTATGTGTAATAAATCCTCTCGGAATACTTCTAATCACTCATAAATTAATTTGTTTATTATTAATTCAGTCGATTATTTACACATATCGGGAAGTTCATGTGACTTGCCTCAAGGATAAATACCAATACCAACAAGTTTACTTTTTGAAATTTGAAATCATTCAAATCGAACACTCTCTTCCCTTAAGTACTTTTTTTGTTACTTTTTGTCCCGTATCTTCGAAACTGCTGAACATGCCTTTGCCAAAAACTAATCAGCATGTTTCCTTATCTATAGGAATCGAATTATTTTTGAATTAGTTTTTTGAATTATCCAAATCGGTTGATCCGTGTTCCCGAAATCGTCGACGAAAATTTGTATTCATTTACCTTTTTCTAATATATATATAAGCCAAAATGTTCAGAATGGGAAGTTAATTATAAAAATTCATTAAAGTTTAGGCTTATAAAATTTTGAAATCGATTCGGCCGTTTTTGACAAAGCGTCAAATACTACGTATAGAATTTGATTTGAAACTGTCGCATCAATCATTCAAAAATAGCTATAAATTTAATAAAATTTTCTTTCCGATAAATTCTAGATACAAGTAAGCTAGTATTTATATGTTTTCTTGAAGAAATTTTTGTAGTTGAGTGGTATTATTTGCAAATCGAATTTTCCAAATAAATTTTGGTTTCGAATTTTTAAAATTAGTTCAGAACTTTTTAGAAACATTTCTGAATTATTTGCTGATTACAAAGAGCCTTATTGACGAATTGTCCTGCGAAAGCTATTTACGCGATGAACTATTCCAAAATAGTTAAATGAATTCATTTACACTATTAAAAATTTCCATGTGTGCCTTAAATGCATTTATATAGAAAATATTATACGTCTTATATATTTGTGAGAAAACGTATCAATTTTAGAATTTGTTATCATAGTAGACATGTAAAGTATAAGATACCAAAATTGAAACTTTGAAGAACAATCCATAAAATTGTTTAAAAAAAATAAAAAAAACTTTGTTTTAATAATCTAATCACTCTATACATGCCTTATTTACAATTAAAAATATGATTTGAATAATTATAAGCTATATCAGCAATTCAGATTATGTATTTAAACGCTTACTTCCTAACCCAATCCACATAATCACTAAGTCTTTAACGTTTTGATATACTTAATTGCAGTTAATCATGATAAAACTTCCAATTATAAAGTTTTCAAAATTCTGAAGGGCAATAGGATTATGGTATGTTAATCTAATTAAACCAAATACCAGCTTTTTTAGTTTGATTATTTGAATAACTATAAACTGTTTGTAAAACTCAAATATTCAAATTTTGAGCTGAGTACATTCATTTGAGCATTATTTTCAATAATATTATCCTCGAGAATTACAGTTATCATTAGATTTATACTATTTTGAACTGAATATGTTTTAAAGCAATCAATCATTTGTTAAGGTACATGATGCAAGCCTATGATAATATAAATTAAAATTGTGCAAATTACATTGAAAACGCTTTAATGTAAATCGATCCCAAAATCCACATTCAAAATCACGCAAAAAATGTTCAGGTTTTAACAAAATACATAAATTTTGATCAAGTTATTAAACTTATTTCAAATGTGTTATAAAAGTTTCAATATGAAGAAGTTATTTACTGAAAATTTGATTTGATAAACTTATATGATATGCTTAATGATTGTTAACATGCGACAATGATCATCTCCTGAGGTTAAATATTACTCGATGAATTTTAACAGTAACAATGTAAAATTAAACAGTAGATCTATATACATATGTTAACGGCTTTGAGAAAAAACGTGGCACTTATATTTTAGACTTCATATAGTCAATACATAGTTTCGACAACTTATTCAAAGTTATTCATGGTTATTTGTGTGTTTTGCCATTTGTGATGTTGAAAGATATATATTTTACTACTGTGCACATACTCATATCATGGAGTAATAATGTTTTCATATTAGGATACAAAATTGTGAGTATTTTTTATTATTATTATCGTCTTTCTATGAGATTTTTTACATATTATTTATTTAGTTTTAATTTCTATAGTTATATTGATTGCCACTAAAAGAAGGTTAAGTTGCTAGCCGAAACGTATGGATTTTAAATAAATTTCTAAAAACTCTCATACAATTTTTATTGATGTAACGCCCGACTTTTAAACTCATACAATATAATATATATATATATATATATATATATATATATAAATTCTTATAAAAACGATGTTACAATACATTAGTATAGTATTCAGCAGTACTTACAGTACAGTAGCTCTCTTTACTTAAAAACTAATATATGAATTGAACTAATATATAGAATGCACATAAACAAAATTATTTGTGTACTTCAATAATCAATTCTAAAGTTCCCATAAGCTTTTAAAAAATCATATGGATCATATATGACATCAGTTCAACATGATCCAATTATTGTATTTCTTTCAACTTATATTTTTGCAAATATTAAGAAAGACATAACATTTGATATCAATCCCAATAAAATATCAATAAAAATTCGCAGCACATTTAAAATTATTAATTAATAAACTGTGAAATTAATTAGACTTATATAATAACCAAATAAATTGTTTGTAAATGAGGAGTAACTAATATGGTTTTAACCTAATTTATCATAAATTATGAACAATCTTGTTGTAAATATAATTGATTTTATCTTTTGATTTGTAAAACAAGCTGAATCAAAAACTAAACTTGATGAGATGATTAATAATATAAATAATATAAATAATGATTAATCAAAATAAAATTACATTATACTTACTACTTATTGATACAATTAATAATCGATTTTAAGAGCGTTGCATCTCAAATCTATTTAAAATATCTTAAATCTATTTAAAATTTTATATTGGTGTAAAGCCCGATCTTTAAACCAAACTAATATAATATATCAACATCAAATTCAAAATTATATACATATATATATATATATATATATATATATATATATATGTGTGTGTGTGTGTGTGTGTGTGTGGAACGAATACTATATGTTAAATATGGACAATACAACACTCAGATTTTTAACATGCACTTTATTTGGCAATTACAGAAGTTTCGAGATCATGATATGCCTCATCTTCAGCATAATTTCAAAATAGTTACTTATATACTAACACATTCTTTAATATTTTATTTAAATTACATTTAATATTCATCCTGTTCCTTCAACTCGATACTTAAGATTTGTTTCAAATATTTCTGTATCTATTCACATTTTTAGGTACTGTGTCAAGCTTTGTAAGAGATAGTTGGTGTTTTTTGTATTTTCAAAAATTAAATGTAATTCATATGAAATATTAAAGAATGTGTTAGTATATAAGTAACTGTTTCGAAATTATGCTGAAGATGAGGCATACCATGGTCTTGAATCGTTTGTAATTACCAAATAAAGTGTGTATTAAAAATCTGAGTGTTGTATTGTTCATATTTAACATTTAGTATATATATATATATATATATATATATATATATACATATATATATATATATATATATTAATTGTTTAATATGAACAAAACAGCACTCAGATTTGTTTAACACAACTTTATTTTATGATTACAGAAGTTTCGAGACCATGGTGTGTCTCATCTTCAGTGTAATTTCAAAAACAGTTACTTATATACTACACATTCTTTAATAATTTATTTAAATTTCATTTAATTTTTGGTATACAAAAACACAAAAAATTTTTGGTATACAGAATATTTCTGTAAGTGTTATATGTTTCTTTAGTACGGTGTCAAGCATTGCAAGGAATAGTTGGTGTTTTTTGTATACCAAAAATTAAATGAAATTTAAATAAATTATTAAAGAATGTGTAGTATATAAGTAACTGTTTTTGAAATTACACTGAAGATGAGACACACCATGGTCTCGAAACGTCTGTAATCATAAAATAAAGTTGTGTTAAACAAATCTGAGTGCTGTTTTGTTCATATTAAACAATTAATATTCGTTCCACTCATATCATAAAATTCTATATATATATATATATATATATATATATATATATATGAATAGTCTTGAATTTGATGTTGATTTATATCCTAGACATCTAATAGTCCACACATAGTTTTTATAACATATTAAAAGTTCTTCATGTTCATTTGTGTGATTTGCCATTTGTGATGTTGAAGAATACATAATAGGATACAAAATTGTATATTAATCGCCACTGAATGAAGGCTCAGATGCTAGCCGAAACTTATGGGTTTTAAATAAATTTTTAAAAGCTCTCACACTATTTTTTATCGATGTAATGCCCGACTTTTAAACTCAAATAATATATATAATATATATAATCTTGAAATTGATATAGCATATATTAGATTAGTTTAAAGATAGGGCATTATCAATAAAAAAATAGTTTATTGTTTATAAGTATAAATGTTTTAAAAATTTAATTGATATCCATAAATATTAGGTAACACCTTAGCTAACAATGGAGCTAAGCTAACACCTAAGCTTATGGTAGAATTTAAAAAAAATATATAAAAATTGGTTTCCTTATATTATAAATTATAAAAACACTACTACTACAGAAAGAAATGAGCTTATATTATCTTATTAAATGTCATCACACAACTAGGTTTGTTGTTTATGATGTCAAAAAGTATATATTTTACTATAGTATAAAAGATCTAATATAATTATTGTAATACAAATAATTGTTTATACCCATTGTTTGTTGTCCGTATCTTCATATTTAGCCAAAACCTGTGAGGATCATAAGCGCCTTGTTTGTTGGAAATTTTGATGACTTTTTAAATGTACCTATAATGAAAAATTCATTATAATACATTATATATAATGTGACAAAAAATTTCAAAATAAACATTTGCAAATGCAAATGCAAAAAAATTTAAAATACAATTTATGAAATAAATATTATATAATTTCATAAAATTTACATAAATATGTTACACTGTAGGTCAAAGATATATATATATATATATATATATATATATATATATATATATATATATATATAGAAGTATATACACATTCATAAATATATATATAAGTATATATATAATTCATTTGTTTCTTATATATTATTTTCATCTTATACTAAATACGCGCGCTTATTATTTGCATTTTTCAATTAAATATATATCTATATATTATACTGTCCTTAGATTTCCTTAGAACTCTATAAAAATAAAATTTAATAAAGCAACAATTCCATAATCAAAACCCACATGACGTTTACGAGAAATACAAATGGCCGCTCGCTTATATATCGAGTCTCTTTATTTTTTATCCATATATCAGATCTCTTTTCATTTTATTCAGTATATTAAAAAACATTTACACACACACATATATATATATATATATATATATTATATACAGTAATTCACATTTTAATGTGAATCTATTTATTAATAAATTTGTTATTACTCTTTTACAATTGAAAATTAGAAATAACTTCTGTAATTGAAAATTTATACAAATGTTCAAGACATATTGAAAAATTCTCGACATTGGAAACATCAAAGCAATTAAGATGAAATATGCTAACTTGCCAAATTGTAATGGAAACGAAAAGTAAAATAAAACATGGCTGTCAAGAGCGTCACTTTTGACGATCTTACAAATCAAAATTGTAACTTTAGATTAGTGATTTACCCCTGAAAGAAAATGTAGAATTCATCGAATTAATAAAATTATTTTAGAAAAGCAATTTATTCCAAATTAATTTATTTTTGAAGAGTACATATAAATGACATTACACAAATTGACAGTAAAATGCAAATACTGAAAACATAATCAATAAAATATAAAATACTTAAATAAAATCTTTTATTATAGTATATAATACATATTATTCTATTGTACAGAGATGTAACTGCACTCTTGTCCCGAGATGTTCCACAATACAAATAAAACACTTCTGTCTATACCGAAACTTACACTAAACTTCTCTTAATAAGGCTGGGGTCGGTATTGTCTGCCACCGCCGCCGCGTTGATAGCCTGAGGTGTATCCGCCATAGCCCGAATTTCTTTGTCCGCCCGAGGAGTAACCGGCCGCGTAATCGTAACCGCCATAACCTCCATAGCCGCCCTGTCCGTATCCACCATAGTTGCCGCCGTAGCCTTGGTTATAGCCGCCGAAACCGCCATAGTTGGCGCCTCCCCAAGCGCCACCTCGGCCACCGCGTCCCCTGACTGCTCCGCCGAATCCACCCCTGGTTGGTATATTGCCGGATGGCGTCGCCCTTTTTACATCAACTTCTTTGCCGGCGATTGTTTGTTTGGGGGTCTTCAATAATTCGTTCACGTCTTGAATAGAGTCGAAAGTGATGAAGCAGAACCCTTTCCTTTGGTTCTTTGTTTTATCAAAGGGTAGTTCGACCTCGACGATATTTCCAAATTGGCCGAAATGAGTTTTAATATCATCGTCGGTTATTGTTGTATTTAAACCGCCGACGAAGAACTTTCCGTGTTTCGCTTTTGCTTTCTTAACGTCTATTTTCTTAGAATTAATGACATGTTCACTGACCGCAAGCGCTTTTTCAATGGAGTCCACGGACGCGAACACTAAAAATGCGAATCCTTTTGATCTGCCGGTATTTGGGTCGCTTTTCACATCCACGGAGTCGATGGCACCGTATTGAACGAAATGATCGCGTAATTGTTGTTCGGTAGTTTCGGCACTCAGTCCACCGATGAATAATTTTCTATCGTCGAAACGAGGCTTTCCCGCGTGTCCATTTTGTGTTGTTGATGCGTCACCACTGCCGTCCGTATTGTGAGTTTTCATTTCAACATCTTGGGCGAATTCACCACCGTTTTCTGTTTTAATATCTTGATTGAAAGACATTTTTGATCACTTAACTGATAAATGAACGCTAAAAACACAAATTTATACTAAATATTCAGATCACCACAACCTTCTCCCAATGGTTGCCGAGTCCAAAAGAACGTCGCTTTATGAATGCTTGTGTAGTATTAGGTTATGGCGTAGCAGGCTGGCCAACAGCGAAGGTTGATTCTAGTGCGACTTTTTACCACGGCGCCGTTTATCAGCGCTTGTAGTACGAAACGTGTTGCAAGATGCGAGCAGAAAATTTGTCAGTTATGATTTAAACCGTTTAAACTACCAAAGTAAAACATTCTCTTTGAATGTGATCACTGATTATAACCACAATTGTTATTCATTTATTTATATGAATGCCAATTGGCTAGATATAGAAAATTTGTAATATATATAAAAATATTGCCGGGCATGCATCTAATTTTTTTTTTAATTATTCTTTATTCTCTATTTTATTTACAACTGTCCAGTTAAGGACATTTAATAAATTTGGAGAATTTACAATTGTCGGCCGTAAAGGGACATTGCATACTAAATGGACATGTTGGAAAAACAATTCAATAGTTGTTATCCCATTAGTTATAATATTAACAATATTTTACTGATAATGATATAATCTTAACTATTTACATATAAATAATGACTAAGTTATTTCAATCTTTATCAGGAAAATTGATGATTTAAATCCAGTGGCGCTTTTCTTTTCAGCCTACGTCGATAATTCTCTAATAATAAAAAATTATTTAATTAAGAAAAATATCTATATTAAAACATATTATGTTTCGAGCCTTGGTTTGACTAATCTTCAGTGTATATAAATATATAATTCATGTATATATAAACTGAGAAGCCGAATTAATATAAGCGCATTGTTATAATACAAAATCAAGATTTAATAATAAAATAAAGTAAATAACTAGTGGTGAATGGCATCGTGTCTTAAAGCAAATTGCTGGAACTTCCCGTACCGTAATTAAATATTCGAGGAATATTAAATGTTTTCAAATAGATTATTTTTTTAAATACTGTAACTTATATATGTTTACAGAAAGTTAAATAAACAAAACGTAATCAATCGAATTTAAAATGAAAGACATTGTCTAATATTTTTAAGAATTATATAAACTGAATTGCAAAGTTAAAATTAATTATTTTGAGTATATTAATCAGCTTTAGAACTTTAGCTAAAAAAAACAATTAAAATTTTATTTATTTTCGATAATCAAAAAAAAAAATTTTTTTTTTCCAAAAGCAATCGTTTTGTCAACACAAGCAGAATTCTGTTTGAATCGGATTTCAAATCGGATGCTTATTTCTTTCAAAAACTATGGCAGTTTTCGCACATTTAGTTCGGTATCTCCTAAACGGCTGGACCTGCCTTTGCCAAAACTAATCGCCTCTTCTCCCCGTCATTACGAATTGAATGTTTTTTGTATCATTCAATTCGGATGCTCCGTTCTCTCAAAAACTCGATTTCTATGATCTGCACTTTTTGAACTAAATCTCCGAAACGGCTGGAACAGCCTTTCCCAAAAACTAATCAGAACATCTCTATCAATAGAAATCGAGTGTTTTCTAAACCATTCAAATCGGTTGATCCGTGCGCCCGAAAACGTGAACGAATAATTGTATCCATACATACATACATACACGCACATCCATTTTTCCTGAGGTATGCAAAATGTTCAGAAACCTTCAAAACGTGAAGAAATGTAAAAATTTTCAATTTCGTTTTTTGAACGATTACAATAACTTACCCTACGGAAAGTTAAAAAAGACTTGTAGAGGTACCACCAGAAAATAAGGTTTTCGCTTTCACTAGGAAATTATTTCAATTTTCAATTGATATTTTTCAATCAGATCAATAATGTATGTAATTTTTAACTTCCCGTCGGGCAAGTTATATTAATCGCAAAAATTTATAAATTTTATAAATTAAACAAATTTTTATATATCTTTACGTTTCAAAGGTTTCTGATTATTTTGGCATACCTTAGAAAAAATGTATGTGTGTGTATGTGTATGTGTGTGTGTGCGTGTATGTGTGTATGTTCGGATACAAATTTTCGTCGACGATTTCGGGAATACGGATCAACCGATTTGAATATTTCAAAACACATTCGATTCATATTGATAAGGAGACGTGCTGCTTAGTTTTTAGCGAAGGCAGGTCTAGCCGTTCCAAAGATACGGGGCAAAAGTGCGCTTTATATTTTGTCCCTATGCAGTTAAAGCAGTAGGATTGCTTTGAAAAAAAGTTCAGATCTTCCAAAATATGTCAAAATAAAGAAAACATTTTTTTTCAAAAAAGAGTCATTTTTTGTCTAATTTATAGTTTCTCAAAAATCTATTTTTTCGAAGTAAATTTTTGTCAAAAATGTTATTCGTTTTTAAAAAAATAATAATTTTGGATACGGGAAGTACCAGCAATTTGCCTTAAGGTACGATTCCATGCGCCCCACTAGTTTAATTATAATATCAAAACACGCGCTCGAATGTCCTAAAAGCGCGATCCATATTTCCAAAAATTAATGCATTTTTGTAATTTAACCACTTTTCGTAGCAAAAGCAAAAACTTACCGACAGATGTAATAATTGACTTAATTAACTGAAATTGATTTTTAGATATTTAGATAAAATTTTCAACTGTTTATTTCGAAAATACGCTTTCAATTTAAACTTTCTGATTGATATCTATCAAACACATTTAAATTATCTGTAATTATATTAATTATAGTGCAAAGACACGTTTGTATCCATTTTTATTAATCCAAATTTGAATTAATTTATACAAGTAGTTCAAGCAATTTTCGTAGGTTAGTTATTAAAAGTTTTAAATTAGTTATTAAAAATGGC